ACCACTTAGGGATCTGAGGCAAAAATCAGTACTTGGTCCTGCTAGTGAAGGCAGGGGGCTGGACTTGATGACCTTTCAAGGTCCCTGCCAGTTCTAGGAGATAGGATATCTCCATTAATTTATTTATTTAATTTATGAATGAATCTCCCAGCCACTCATGATCTCCCACCCCAATCCCCCCAGCTCCAGCCCTACATCCCAGGACCGTAATGTCTTACACTGGTCAAGGACCCTTTGGGCAGTGCAAGTTCATTAAGTAGTTCGTCACTCCCTCTATGCGGAGCGGACACACACTAGCCTTTGCAACCTGAGCTGAGATCTCCCAAGCAGAACACACTGTTTTAGGTAAAATATAAAACAGATTTATTAACTCCGGAAAGATCAATTTTAAGTGAATATAAGTAGCCGGCCCAGAGATCAAAGTTGGTTACTTGGGAAATAAAAATAAAATAAATTTGCAGTCTAAGTTCTACAAACTAAACAGGATTTGAATCAAGCAGTGTCTCACCCTGACTGATGGCACAATCAGGTTACAGATCCTCAATGCACAGGCTGGGACTCTTCCAGCCTGGGATCACCCTCCCCAGTTCAAAGTCTTTGTCCTCCAGACGTTTCCCCTCCCAACTCAGGTCAACACCTGGAAGAAAGAGGCCAAGTGATGATGCCAGTGTCTCTCTTACAGCTTCTTCCAGCTCGCTGGAAAGATCTTTGCTGTGACATGGGGATCAGGCAGTCCTCATTACATACATGCTCTTTCTGAGAAGTCTCTGGGATGGCTGTTGGGAGAGTGGATTCCCTTTAATGGGCCATCAGCACATCTGGCTGGTCCTTTGTTGCAACTGAAAGGTTGGCTGGGGGCATCTCCCAGCCTCACAACTATTTCAGGAACACATGTAGCAATGCTTCATAACTTCACATACAACGAGAGCACAGACAGTCAAATGGGATTAATGTTCAACAGATCAAGATTTTTAAAATAATACCTCACAAGACATACTATGTACAAAACTTATCATAATTATATGACAGTAGACAATATGGTAGTTCCAGGGTTCTACTTTGAGGTATAGAGGGGCAGAATGGAAGGGAATCTGGGAGGCAGAGAGGGGATGGGTGGGGGTGTCCTAGAGGTTGGGGGGCAGGGAGGGGTGGAGCGGGTCACCCCCAGGGCTGGGCACTGGTGTGTGTGGGCCAATGGTGGATTCCTGGGGGAGAACGGAGAGATTGCTAGGTAAGGAGGGGGGCACCGTGGCGCCAGTTGCCTGGGGAAGGAGGGAGCCCCGTTGGGCTGGGCAGCTCCTCTGACGGTCTCTCTCCCGTGTGGCAGGCATCACTGGGCTCCCCTGCCCGGCCCCGTGCCCTCTCGGACCAGGAGCCCCTGCTCAACCCGTCCATGGCACCGCGACTCGATGTCAAAGTCAAGTGAGTCGGTTCCAGAGCGGGTGGGATGAGTTCCAGATGGGGCAGCAGCCGTGAGGCAGGCCCCCCGCGGGACGCTGAGCAGCAGCTGTGGGGCAGGCCCCATCTGGGACAACGTGGGGATTAGGGGGAGAGCGGGGCTGTGCCTGGGACATGGCGGGTTCTGTGGTAGTGCCATGGATGCTGTGGTGCCCTTGGGCGCTGTGGGGCTGTTCTGCCCTGGGATGCCAGCGCCCCCCCCCTTGGCTCTCTCTTCTCTCCCCTCCCCCAGCTTTGTGGCGGGCGTGATCCACCCTTGGCGGGTGACCTCCTTTGAGCGGCTGCTGTGGCGCGCCTGCCGCGGGTACCTCATCGCCAACTTTGTGGAGATGGCGGAGCCCATGGAGGACCCAGCCACGGTGAGTGCGGGGTGGGAAGGGGGGTTGGAGCAGGTCTGGGTGTCTGTGAGGGGGGCAGGCCTGGAGGGGACGTGGGTGGATCTGAGTGGGGTGGGGCTGGGGAGGTTTCTCTGGAGCCTGGGAGCATGGGTGGGGGTGATTTGTAGGCACCCCTGTGCTATGCTGAGGCTCATGGGTAATGTGCTCCCCCTGCAGGGTGAGAACATCACCTGGGTTATCTTCCTCATTTCCTACTGGGGGGAGCAGATCGGACAGAAAATCCGCAAAATCTCGGACTGGTGAGTGCTGCCCCCCACCCGTCCCGTCTCCTCGCCGTCTATCTGTCTGCCTGTCCGCCCCCCTAGCAATTCCTGCCCCAAGCTCCGGCGCTCCATACGCCTGCTGCTGTCGTGTGAGGGGTCCAGGTGCCACACCGAAGCCGCTCTTGTTCCTGTCTGGGGAGCTAGAAGTCCAGGGGGGTGTCTTGGGGGCAATTACCCCCGCCGCCTGGTGTGGCTGTTCCCTGGGGGGAATGGGAGCAGAGCGCCAGGGCCCCCTCCAGCCGGCTGGCCCGACTCCTCATGCCCATAGGAGGCGCAGGATTGATGGCAGTCGTTTGTGCCTCCTCCCCCCCCCACCCCGCCCCACAGGCTGTTCGGTTTCTCCCACACACAACTCAGCCCCCGTCTCCGCCAACATGCCCCCCGCTCACCTGTGCGTGTCTCTCCCAGCTTCCACTGCCACGTGTACCCCTACGCCGACTCGGAGGCCGACCGGCTGGAGGTGCTGAATGGGCTGCTCACCCAGATCAACGACCTCACCACGGTGAGATGGGGGGGCCCCGAGGACACTCCCCGGTCAACGACCTCACCGCAGTGAGATGGGGGAGCTGCGGCGGGGGGAGAGGGCGAGGACACTCCCCGCTCAACGACCTCCAGCGTTAGGGTCCCAGGCTGTAAGGGAGATGGGCAGCAGTTGAGGCCCCTACCAGGGTGGAGAGGAAATATTGGGCTGGGGGGCCCCAGCTGTGTTGGAATATTGGTGGGGTTGGTGTCTGCCCCTGTGAACCTCCCTCCCCCCGGCAGGTGCTGGGGGAGACGGAGCAGTACCTGTCCCAGGTGCTGCAGAAGGTGGTGCTGACGCTGCCGGCCTGGCGCGTGAAGGTGCAGAAGATGAAGGCCATCTACCTCATCCTCAACCAGTGCAGCTTCAACGTCATTGAGAAGTGCCTCATCGCCGAGGTGTGGTGCCCCGTGCGTGACCTGCCACAGGTGCAGGAGGCCTTGCGCCACGGATCGGTACGTGCCTCCGCCTGCCCCCCCCCACGCCACGGATTGGTACATGTCGTCCCCCCCCACGGATCGGTACATGCCTCCGCCTGCCCCCCCCCCACGCCACGGATTGGTACATGTCGTCCCCCCCACGGATCGGTACGTGCCTCCGCCTGCCCCCCCCCCACGCCA